ACTTGAAGTTGTTAACCCCTTCCTGACCACATCTTCTGCTATGTTCCACACTCTTTTCTCCCTGGGCTCTTTGCTTCTTGTTTCTCCTCTCTGTAATGTCCACAGTGATGAGTGAACAGAACATTGGGCAGAAACCTGGAGTAAGATTTATGGTCTTTTGAACTTGCCTCCCCTGTTTGCAGTGGGAAATTTGCATCAGAAGGAGGTGGGTCATGAAGGGGGAGAGAGAAATGAATACCCAGTTTCACTCAGCCTGTTATCTGGTTCTAATAATCAACTGCAAACCACTTTGCAATAACTTTCATGTGTCAAGGAATGCAGGCCTCTGAGCATGTGAAGAATGCCTTTTTCTCACCTATTAAGAAATAATCCAACTTGGTCCTGAATCCTGTGACCCAGAACAAAAAATCTGGTGTTAGTGCTAAAGCCTTGAAAATGCTCAGGCAGGTTTAATGTAATTGTTTCATGACCTTTTGCGCATAGAAAAAGCTGGGTGTCACCAGATACCAGCATCAGCTCTTGCATCTAACATTTAAGCACAATGCAGGTTATGCCAAAATTTTAATTATGTCCAAGCATCTTTCTTATCCCTTTTTTTTGTGGGGGGGCAACATCCAGCCTGAAGAAGAGTTCTGGAGGACTCAAAAGTGTACACTACTATATGCCATGTGGATTGTGTTCTGGGTTTTTAGATTTTTCTTTTGAACCTGCACAGCTGACAACTTCTTTAAACTCCAGGACTTTTCACAGTGGACGAAGTTCAGAAGACCAAATGTCCGAGCTGGCAGTCTTAAGCCCCCTGAACACTCACTGCAGAATATAAAATATTGGGGGGGGGGGATTTAAATAAATCTGTGCCGGGAATAATCAATTCTCCGAATGCCAAGACTGCAAACACTCTGCCCATGTGTAGAGTTCTTTTCTTTCACTGCAGAATAATCTGGTATCAGGGGATAGTGTCTAGGCTGGCAAAAGGGATTTACAGGCAGGTGTAATTTAGGAATCTCTTGTTTCAGTAATGAAAGTGCTGATGAATTGCCAGTCACCCCCAGCTTTCCCACTGCAGATGTGAATCATACCTCACAGTCTCATGGCCTGCAGAATCTCTTGAGGGAAGAATGTAGGTGTGCTAATTAACAAAGGACTCATAGTCTGATCATACGCAAATCATTTTCCACTGGATAACTGATGCGGTGCCGTTTTCTGGATATATGGCTTCTTCTAAAAATTGTATGCGCACCTGCTTGTGGTAGATGCAAACTAGATGTGGGGAAACAGTAACCAGCACTGAAACTTGAGACAGCATAGAGAAGGAGAAGGAGATTGCATTTATACCCCACCCTTCACTACCCAAAGGAGTCTCAGAGGAGTTTACAGTCCCTTTCCCTTCCCCTCCCCACAACTGACACCGTGTGAGGTAGGTGGGGCTGAGAGAGCTCCGATAACTGTCCTTGAGAGAACAGCTCTGAAAGAACTTATAACTGACCCAAGGTCACACCAGCAGCTGCATGTGGAGGAATAGGGAATCAAACCCAGTTCTCCCAGATTAGAGTCCGCGCTCCTAACCACTACCAATGCTCCCTCTAAGCTGTGGAGTCTTGTGAGGAAAAATTCTACTTTGTGAGCTACTGGCATTAAAGTTGTGAGTGAGTGATTTGGCTATTGCATAAATTTGTTTGCTCTGGAGCTGTGTTCCCTTTAAGCTGAGTTAGTATGAGCTGGCTCACGGTTTTTTAGCCTCTGGCTCACACGTTTTTGTCTTAGCTCAGGAAGAATGGCTCCAGAGCAAACTAATTTATGCAGTAGCCAAATAACTTGCTCACAATTCTAATGCCAGTAGCTCACAAAGTGGAATTTTTGCTCACAGGACTCCACAGTTTGCTCTGGAGCCCTCCTTCCTGAGCTAAGACAAACAATGTGTGAGTTGGAGGCTAAAAAACTGTGAGCTAGCTCACACTAACTCAGCTTAGAGGAAACACTGACCACTACACCAAACTGGCTCTAGTGGCTAGAGTGGTAGACTAGGATCTGGAAGACCCAGGTTCAAATTTCTGCCTTGGAAACTTGCTGGGTGACTTTGGGTCAGCCACGTTTGCTCAGCGTAACCTACCTCACAGGACTGTTATGAGGATAAAATGGAGGAGAGGACGATGTAGGCTGCTTGTAGCATGTAGCGAAATTATTCATTTTTAGTCTAGC